ATGGATAATTGTGGTAAAAAGCTGTAAAGAAAATAATTCAGTTTGCATAAATCAAACGACGAATTCCATGGTAGTCCAGCTGAATTAGTTTTTTGGAGATAAATTGGAAAAATATTAATTGTTAGGTGGATAATATCAACAATAGAACTACATAGCATATAAATACAGCAATTATTCCAACGAAGATTAGGTTGAAGAAATGTAAAGATATTACCAATAAAACCAATTAAACCAAGTATAAAAGAGATAAGTATTATATTAGGTAGAATTTCAGTTATTAGAAATGCATAACTATCCCATGAAATTGATCTTTGCATGAGAAAAGTGATGTTAGTAATAGGAGTATTATAATCCATTTTGACAAACTGCTTAGTAATGATGTTCGAACTGAAAGTTTAGAATTAAACAACTTTTATATTGAATATAGAATAGTAAATATATTTAGATGACAATAATGAAGACAAGTAGTATTTATGATCGCAGAAAAAAAACTACAAGGCATTATGAGAAGATTGTGTTATTATAGAAGAAAAACAAGTTGACGATGGGTTAAATCAGTAATACTAAGTTCTCTATTGACTATAAACAAATGATTAGATATAAACGAACAAGTAGCGATTTTCATAGTTCACGTGTTTCTAATATGAATTGTTTTCGACTTTGAACTTGTCGCGTTCTTGTCACAAGGCTATCTTAGTATGATTCTTATAATTTAAAAAAGAAAGTATGTAATTATTCATTAAGTAGAAAACAAACTGTTGTAAAGTGAGTTAATTATTCAAGATCCTCATTAGAACTTCATTTAATAACTAGAGTAGAAAAAAGAGTAGATGCTATTTTTGAAACATCGAAATTATTTCTTTCATAATAATGAACCATTATTGAGCATGTTTCTTTGAATCAAAACTTTCACAAAAAGCGTTAATGTTAATGAAAACATATATAACGGAGAAAAGTAACATGAGAACTACGTATGAATAAATCCTACTACGGCTTTTGAGATATTTGAGAAAGGATAAAAAATAAAGACATGGAAAAAGAGTGTGGGTTGGATTTTTGTATCTTAGTTTTTTCATCACTTACTTCGTACTATTAAAAAGAATAAAATACTGTAAAAGATGCAGTGTGAAAAGTTCCACAATTCATCACGTATAGCAAAAGAGTATATCATTTCGTACGTTCAAAATTTGATCACTCGAGATTTTGCCTACTTAAACAACAAAAGGTGGAATTTATATGGTAAACGAGTCTTGCGTAGGTTGTAGAGCTCTTCATGTTAAATCTTTTAATCAACTCATTACTTTTTGTCTGATCTCAAACATAGTGAAGATCGTTTTAAGTATAGTTATATATAGTTTTGTAGAAACGTTTAAGCATTATCTTTTAATTGAAAAAACGTTCCTTGATGACAGGGATAATACTAAGAAGTTCATTATTTCTGCGATACCCGCTAATAAAAGTATTACAGTAAAAAAGAACTTGTTTATTGTTTTATCTAAATATAATTTCGAAAGCAAAAATAAGTTAAAAGATCGTCTGTAATATTTTTCCAAAAAAAATAGTATTAAATATCGCCTGTAAAAGCCATACTCGAAGTAGCTCGTGTCCGTTTATTTGCAGCTGTATTATCTTGTCGTTCAAAAGCAGATTTTTCTAGTTTTGATGGAACATGTATAGATAATTCACTATTCATATCATTCGATTCAACTGTAGACAATGATTGTTGACTTCCATATGGAGCAAGTGATGATAAACCTTTGTTATTATCATCTTCCAGATTTGATGATAACGATACCGATTTATTCAGATGATATTTTCGAATTGTATAAAAACCAATACCACCGATGAGAGCAATAATTATAAGTATTCCAAATATAAGTCCAATGATTTTCGGTATATTTTTTGTTTCTTGTGCTTTTGGAATATTAGGAGGATTTCTTTGACTTGCTGGTGAAAATGGTAGCTTATTTTTCTGTTGATTTGAATTAGATTGTGGTGAATTATTTGAATTAGATTGTGAAGGATTATTTGAATTAGATTGTGCCGAATTACCTGGATTATTTGGAACTATAATCTAGAAAAATATTTCAATATGATTTTGATACACTAATAATTACGGAAATTTGAAAATAATTCTAATTAACAAACTCATTCTCAAAATTGTATATTTTATTCATTGTTTTTTAATCAAATATAGGATATGATGATCTTATATTTCAACAACTAATTTATCTCAATAAACATATATTATGATCTATGTATTGCTGTAAAAGTTTTCAATTCAAACCGATAAATTCTTTTTGTTGACATATCAATGATCTGAAAATTGTATTACTATGAAAGATTTTAATTATTTATTCTAGATTTTCTTCTAACTTTCTGCATGAAGCTAAAAACTTGATAAAATGATCGTGATTAAAACAGAAAGCTTCATTTGCATAGACTCCAATGACTAATTCTTATTCATTAATCTAACTTAACAGGCTTTTTTTAAAAGAATAACATGAACTTAAATGTTGGTCTTTCGATGCATAGATGTAGTTTCTAAGAAAAAAGTCAGAAGAGATTTTCTATGTAAAATAACTTTAAATGAAAATTTACAAATGATTTTTTTAGCTTCAATGCCAATGCCTGATAATGTTATACTTCCGATAATAAATTTCGTTGAAATATAAAATAGATATTTACAGTTCTAAAAGGTATATATTCTATTTATGAATAAAAACAAAAATTATTTATAAATATGAAATATCTACAAAATCTATTTTGTTAGCTACAAATTTATGATTGATCGAATCGATCTATAGCCTTGCATTCTATTATAAAAATCTAGTATTCCATATTCGTAAATAATTTTTATTCATAAATATGATATATATTTTCTAGAGACAAAAAAATTAACTGTAAATATCTTTTTTATATTTCAACAAAAATTATATGACGAAGTTGTAACTTCGCCGACTAATGTAATTTAGACACGACATATATATACATACCGGCTTTTCTAGATCCAACACATACGTATCAGTTCCTGGCGGTCTAGGTTCATTTTCTACTTGTTCTAATTCAGCTTCCATTTCTTCTATTGTTGGCTCGCCTCCGGCACCTGGATTATAATAACAAGCATACTTAACATCATTTACTATTTGATTATGCATCGAAGGACATGGGTCGGGTTGGTTACTAGTAAATATTAATCGACAAATAATTCCATTACCTGGAAACCATATATAAATTCTTCTTTCGCCTGGAACAGTACTTGGATCAAAATATGTATTATTTACGTCTTGCTCATTTGATTTCAGTATATCAGACTGTGAACTAGTATCATGCTGAACATTCCATTGGTATAATGGTCCTGATCGACTAAGTTGACTCTCAACATTATTAGGTATTTGTGAATATTTTGTACCGTATTGTTTTATTTTAATAATCTGTTCTTCGTGTACTGTGCTATCATCGGATGCACATATAAGTGTCAGTTCTGTCCAGTTAAAACCAGCATAGTTATGAGTATATATGTCATCTTTATTATCACATGTTAATATATCCGTAAGAAATTTGTCACTGTTTTCATATACTTGAACTTGCTTATCGGAACAACGTATAACATTAAGACCATTCAAAAAAACCAATTCTAATTTAGGTTCAACAGTAGTATAAGTCGGAAATATGTAAATAAAAATGAGTATAAATTGAAGAAGATAATTAATAGAAATTATATAAAACATTACAGAAGTTGATTAAGAATGATAACAAGAGAATAAACTAAAATGGCGCATCTTTTTAACTGTAACTCTCGTTATTACTGATTACAACTATGAAAACTAATTCTATCACAAAATATTTACAATCGATTATACGATATTAGATTGAAACCAAATGTTGCCAACTAAGAAGTAAAAATTGACTTATAACTGTTCAAATATCATCATATACAATCGTGTGTGTGTGTGTGTGTTGGACCTCTAGCGAACGGATAATATACTGCGTATTCCTTTTAACCAATAATGTTAAATAACATCTATTGAATGATTCAGAAAAAAAGTAAAATTATTTGTATTTAAATAAAAATTTTTGCAAATGTCGATTTTATATCGTCCTTTTATCAGACATATTTCTCGATTTAGGTGAATATGTCTTTTGAATTTTAATTAATTTATAATTTTTTTTTCATTATTTTATAGACCAATTACAATATTATCTAGTCGTCAAATATCAATAAAAAGTTCAGTTGATCCTGATGAAATCAACCGATTTCGTCAATTATCGTCATCATGGTGGAATGAAACAGGAGAATATGCTGCATTACATTCACTTAATCAACTTCGAGTACCATTTATTCGTGAACAACTTCTTCAACCAACATTAAAAATAAAAGATTCTTTAAAACCTTTAAAAAATCTTCAATTACTTGATATCGGTTGTGGAGGTGGTATTCTAACTGAAGTTTGTAGATAAATAAAAAAGCTGGAAATTTAAATTTAAATTCTTATTTTTATAGCCTTTAGCACGACTGGGTGCTTCAATATTAGGTATCGATGCTGTTTCAGAAAATATATCAACAGCTCAATATCATGCTGATCCATCATTAAAAGAAAATCTTAATTATAAACATGGTTTGTAGTATAATTATTGATTAATTTCATTTTAATCCATTTCTTTTCGTTAGTATAGTGACACTTGAAGAATTATGTGAAAATGTTGAATATATTGAAAAATATGATGCGATTATTGCTTCAGAAGTTATTGAACATATCAATGATGTCGATAGTTTTATTGGAAATATAGGAAGACTACTTAAAGTATGTAAAATATTTCAAAAGATATATTATATATCGAACTGATCAATTTATATTTCTAAAAATATCTTAAACTTCTATTTTAGCCGAAAGGTCTTTGTTTTATTACAACATTAAATCAAACAATGGCTTCTTATCTTCTTGGTATTATTGCTGCTGAATATGTTTTTCGAATAGTTCCAGTCGGAACACATACATGGAATAAATTTATTCGTCCAACAGATTTAATCACGTTATTTGAAAAAAGTTAGAATAGAATTTCGAAATGAATATCATAATTTTTTCGTTTTCTTTTCTTAGATGGCTTTTCTGTTGTTCTAAACAATGGAATGATTTATAATCCAATTACAAATCGATGGTCATGGTCAGAAAATAAAGCTATTAATTATGCATTATGTGCAGTAAAAAATTAGTTAATGTTTATTTATACCTTTTCCATCATTATTGAATATAGAAAATAAAGTTTTAACTAGCCCTAAAGAGGGCTGTTTGGGTATTTTTGTTTTGTGTTGTTTTGTAATATTTTTGATCTATGAACCAAAACCATATAAAGTACGTCCCTGTCGTTTAAGAGCATAGACAACATCCATAGCTGTAACAGTTTTTCGTTTAGCATGTTCAGTATATGTAACAGCATCACGAATAACATTTTCTAAGAATATTTTTAATACTCCACGTACTTCTTCATAAATGAGGCCACTAATACGTTTAACACCACCACGTCGGGCTAAACGACGAATAGCTGGTTTGGTTATACCTTGGATGTTATCACGAAGTACTTTACGATGACGTTTGGCACCACCTTTGCCTAAACCTTTACCACCTTTACCTCGTCCAGACATTTTTTTTTATATGTAAATTTTCTTTGTTTGAATAGAATGTATGATCATATGAGAATATAAACATGCATTTTATATGCATATAGTATTCAGCTACCCGTTGGTCGATTAAGGATAGCCGTTTAGTGACCAATCAAAGCAGAGAAACAGAAAAATCAGCTGTTTAAGTGCAAAATATTACATCTACGAATGGATAATTTCATACTTTGTTCATAAACGAATAAAATGAGATAAGCTTAAAGAGAACTTTGATGTCAAACAAAGATAGTTATGATCAGAGAATTATACTGTACATTCAATCTCGTGAATACTACTAGAAAAATTTTATTTGATGATTACATTTGTTTTTTTGTTGAATCGAATTCATGAAATACAACTGAAAATATTTTATTTTTATCTTATCAATGAATAGTAAAAATTCGATTTTTTAATTAAATCAATATTTGTCACAACATACAATTTCTTTCAAATTTCAAAACAAGAAACTAAACATCTAAATAGATTATTATCTTGAAAATCAACTAACTAGATATTTATTAACTTTATATTCAACAGTACTATTATTTGTGACTAGAAATTTGTTTTCATTCTGATCAATATATATTTCATATGATATTATTTCTGAACTTTAATCTTTGTCTCTTTTTCATATCTAAAATAAATTCAATTTGTTAAACTCGAATATCAACATTTGTGAATTTAGAAAATAAAATAGCCCTAAAAAGGGCTGTTTGGGTTTATTTTTTTTTAAATTGATTTATTATTCAATTTTTCATTTTGCACTTGTATATTTAGTAACAGCTTTTGTACCTTCTGATACAGCATGTTTTGCAAGTTCACCAGGTAATAAAAGTCGAACAGCTGTTTGAATTTCTCGGCTGCTAATTGTTGATCGTTTATTATAATGAGATAAACGACTTGATTCAGCAGCAATACGTTCAAATATATCATTGACGAATGAATTCATAATTGACATAGCTTTCGATGAAATACCTGTATCTGGATGAACTTGTTTAAGTACTTTGTAGATGTAAATTGAATAAGTTTCTTTTCGTTTGCGTCGATGTTTTTTATCGGTACCTTTAGCACCGGATGCACCTTTTGTTGTTTTTGTAACAGCTTTTTTTGATCCTTTGGATGGTGTTTTTGGTGGCATGTTGAGCAAGTATTAATGATATTGAGAGTATACAGGAAAGAAAAAGTTTTTTTTCTATTTCTTCTATTTATATACACACATATGTGTCTGTTGTTTGTCAGTTGAACAACCAATCATTAGTGTTGTTATTTGATTGGTTAGAAATGTTGTTCATTGAATGGACATATATATAGATACGACATAGATAGAATTCATATCATTTCAAAAACATTTTCGTCAAGTAAATAAATAAACAAATCAAGACACAATGTCAGGACGTGGAAAAACTGCAGGAAGTGGAAAAGCTCGTGCTAAAGCAAAAACTCGTTCATCAAGAGCTGGTCTTCAATTTCCAGTTGTAAGTTATATTATTAAAAAATAAAGATTCGTTTTTGATTTTTATATATATTTTTATTTCTCATAGGGTCGTATTCATCGTCTTCTTCGACGTGGTAATTATGCCGAACGTGTTGGTGCTGGTGCACCAGTCTATTTAGGTGCTGTTCTTGAATACTTATCAGCTGAAATTCTTGAATTAGCTGGTAATGCTGCTCGTGATAATAAGAAGACACGTATCATCCCCCGTCATCTTCAATTAGCCATCCGAAACGATGAAGAATTGAATAAATTATTATCTGGTGTTACCATTGCTCAAGGTGGTGTCTTGCCTAATATTCAAGCTATTCTTTTACCAAAGAAAACAGCTGAAGGTGCTCCATCAACACCACGTGAAACAACAGGTGGTGCTGGTCCAAGCAAAAAGAAACCAGCTGGTGAAAAATCATCAGGTAGCAAAGCAGCTGAAAAAGCTTAAATATGCTTGACCTATTCCTCAAAATAACATCAAAAAATACTTAAAAACCCAACAGCCCTCTTTAGGGCTAATACATTTTAAATTCACAAATGTGGGAAAACGGAATAAGACCAATGACTAATTATTGTTGTTTCTATTTGTAAATAAAAACAAAACGTTTCAATATATACACACATATATCGTCATGTAGTTATTTAATTTACAGTTTATATGTAGATAAATATACGATTTATGTATATAAACGTATAGGATAGAAAACGAAAGAAGAAGAAAATTCTAGAATAGAGAAAGGTCATAAGTAAAATATCGAGATAGAAAATCAATTGTAAGATGTATGAATACGTATTTATTAAATAAGAGTTAATACGTGACTGATGATTGTATAAATATGAGTATATCATTTTTGTCTTTACGTTATTAGTTTTCATATAAAGTATAACGAGATTTAGTAAAACTACGTAGAACAACATGAGAAATTTATTCCGTAGCGATTTATTGGCGAGAACAATAAAAATAACTAAAATCCTGAATTTGTAGCTTTTTTATAATGTTTTTTTTGTCCAATTTGAGCGTCCTATCGTTTTCACTTGCTATAAATTTAATGATTGGTGTTTTGTATGTTATAGATAATATTAATATAGTTCATTCATCAGAAAAAAGTAAAAGGGTTCTGATTTTACTGTCTAATATAATGAAAATCTATACTCTTTTGAATAAAAAAGTTATGCATATGTATTCTATAAATGCAAAACATAGAAAAAATCGAATAAGAATGGAAAATGATTAATTCATCTTATTAATAATACAAGGCATTACTTACAAAAAAATACATTATAAACTTTATTCTGAGATTTTTTTAAACTAATATAACACTTTCATTTACAAAAATCGAATGTTCTTCATAATAATCTGTAATGATTTATTGTATAATTGTTTAGTAAAATAAATATTCACTGTACATCAGAGATAAGATTGTTTGTGGATAGTTAATTTATAGCAATATCAGTAAATAGTTGTACACATTAACAGAAGATTTTATTGATAAATAATGTCAAAGTAAAATTTGTCGTAAGATTTGAAACTAAAGCCATTTGTTCAAAAATAAAAGAAAAGAAGAGTATTAAATCGACGATAAAATTAAAAAAACTAATGAAGAAGATCAATAGCATTGATGGTTTTTTTTATATCATATATGTGTTAACTGAAATAACAAATAAAAATCTTCATTTATTCAATAAAATATCAAATATAACAAAGAGAAAAACTTCAGTTTTTTCATTCAAAAAAAAAAAGAAATGGTTTTTTTTAATTTCTTATCTACAAATTTCAAGTAAAATATGGTAGCGTGCATGTCAATAGTGATTCATATCAATGTTATAAATATTTGCTTTGAGTGAGAAAAAATGAATGCGCGTAATAAAAAAAGAGAATAGAGAACTGTATTTAATTGATAGGAGAAAAAAAGAATCGAAGGAAGTTAAAAATGTATAATTTAAATATCATAAAAATATGATTTGACTATTCTTTAATGAAAACTTATGAAATATAATATAGTTACTTTATAATCTTAGACGAGTAACTATTTTTAAATGCTTTTCTTATTTGATCAAAAAAGTAAATTGTCCTACTGTCTGAAATAACATTAATACACTACAATGTCATCTGTTGCTAGAATTATTTTTCATTACGGTAAATATCTCGCTACATAGATTGAGTTAGTCAAATTCACTTACCATACATGAGATTCGTTTTGTTTTGTGTTTAATTGTATGAGTAATTAGATATTCTGCATATTTTTCAATCTATTCTGTACGATAATCTTATGATATCAATCAAGTGATATTTACTTTTTACTCCTGAGTAGAATTCATCGGATGCACAATATATGCAAGTACTTTAAATTCGATAAAAATGGCATATTATTTATCATCACTTATATGTCATTGTAATAAAATAGTTGTGTGGACTTCAAGATTACATAAGATTTTATCAGAATACATACATAAGCGAAGTGTTCGATATTTCGTTTTAGAGTACATCACAACTAAACCAACCATCTTAGAGTTTATAAAAATGCAACCTATTGTACTATACTCTAAAAAGATGTATGAAAATTTAGTAAAGGATCCACAAGATATGTTTATCTTCTATAGATCATCTTTTTCGCTTTTTATTTCGGATATCTTTTTTTATTACTTGAATAATATGAAGTTATCCTATATTTCACTGCTAACATCTAATCTAATTCAATAGATATTTTGTAGAACTTCTACGAAGTTATGATTTCCAATATTATATTTATCAATACAAATGTCAAACACATAATATACATGATCAGTTTTGAAGATTCAAATGAAATATAAGTACGAAAGATCTCTATAATGATTGAGGAAGATAATAGCTATAGTAATATATTCAATAAAAACTCACGGAAGTGACAGATATCTTGACAAACAGAGTTCACTGCTTTTCGTTTTACGGTCATTCAAGTAAGTATATACGTCAATATGCATTCAACTTATTCAGAAGTTTTAAACAATCTCCTAGATAAGACGATTGTATTATTAATTCACTCAAGTGAATATTACAGTGGAGTAAATCTTCAACAAATCATATAAAACTTTAATTTTCTATTAACAATCTTTTCCTTCAAACAATACTTTCCATTGAAAAGACCGTCAAGAAAATCTTATAATCATCTAGTTATTTTATTTCATATACTGATAGTTTAAATCAAGCGACACAGAACTTACTCACTGATTGTTTGTCTTAAGCAATAATATATATTATATAAAGTGTTAACATATCATTTATTTCCGTACCATAAGCATTCACTATTTCTAATATTGTACAAGTGACTGTATCAATGAATACAGTTATAAATAATAGACGAACTATTGAACCACAATATTAATTAAGTATTTGATTCGATATAAATCTATGTTTGAGATAAAACATCTTTTAATCGAATAGAACGAAGAAAATATTCAAACCTTTAAAATAATATCACTATTTGGAGTATTTAATTGATATGCTCTGAATAAATGATTGTTTTGCACAACATTTATATAATTAGAATTAATACCGAAAAGATCTGATTCAAGGCCAAATTAATACACTATCGGAAACAACAAAATTTATATGTACTAAAGTGACATCTTTGTACATAACTCATCATTTATCAGTTGATTCGATGATATATTTACCCAGTTAAATCATACAAAATAGTTTCTTTCGATTGTTTTACTACGCCTTTAGGTTTTTATTCATTGATAATATTAAATGAAACCTAATTATTTATTTTCTGTTTGTAGAAACAACTCATAGATAAAAAAACAAATCGAACATGTGGTGTATTTATTTGCATTCTCCATGACTGATATATTGAATATATAATATTTATTTTATTCTTTTCTATTATAATACAGTACATAAATAACGTATGCTAAGAATATTCTTTTTATTATATTTTATTTATATATATATTTGTATTTAGTCTTCCTTTTATTTACGTTTTAATCAGATAACATGCTGATCAAAATTTTCCAAATATTTTTTCTTATATCAATCATTTCTGGTATGTTACCGGAGGAAAAATCAAAACTTCGGTTACAAGTGATTGATATGTTTAAACATGGTTTTGGTTCCTATATGGTAGAAAATATATTATCTATTTTTTTTTCTCTATGCTTTATAAAATTATCTTATAGAAATATGCCTATCCGGCTGATGAACTAATGCCATTAAGGTAAAAGAATTGATTCGATGAAGATAAAGTTAAAATATGATGTTTTTTTTAGTTGTAAAGGCCGATATCGTGGTTCGGAAACATCTCGTGGTGATATTGATGATGCTCTTGGAAAGTAAATAGAAATTTCTGTTCATTAATGAAAAATCTTATTTTTATTTATTTAGTTTTTCGTTAACACTCGTTGATAGTTTGGATACATTAGCGGTAATGTATATAAAAATATTTAATTTTAAAACAATTAACGTTTTTTTTTAGGTACTTGGAATGTTTGATGAATTTGAACAAGCCGTTCGTCAAGTTATTCAACATGTTTCATTTGATCGTGATGTGATTGTTTCAGTGTTTGAAACAAATATTCGGATGATCGGGTAATTCATTCTTATCTAGATAAGATTTACGATGAGAATATAAAAATATGATGAATATTTAAACTATTAAATTTTATGCTTCTCTTCAATTACTTCTTTTTTGTTTTTAGTGGACTTCTCGGTGGTCATATATCCGCAAAATATGTTAATTTACATCATCCACTACGTTTATCTTGGTATCGTGATGAATTATTAGTTCTTGCTCATGATTTAGGTCTTCGTTTATTACCTGCATTTAATACGACAAGTGGTTTACCATTACCACGTGTTAATCTTCGTTATGGTATTGATTTAACATTATCAAAAAGTGAACGTGAACGTTTTACATGTACAGCATGTGCTGGTACATTAATATTAGAATGGGCAACATTATCACGTTTAACAGGAAATTATTTATTTGAACAATATGCTGATCGTGCTATGACTTATTTATGGGAACGAAGACATCGACAATCAAATTTAATGGGTACTATACTTAATGTACATTCAGGTGATTGGATTGTACGTGAAGCAGGCATTGGTGCTGGCATCGATTCTTATTATGAATATTTATTTAAAGCATATGTTTTATTAGGAGAATCAAATACAGATTATTTAACTCGTTTTCAACAACATTATTCATCAATAATGTCTTATGTTCAACAAGGTGTTGCTATGGTTAATGTACATATGCATCAACCATATCGTTTAGCAAAAAATCATATGGATGCATTATTAGCATTTTGGCCTGGATTACAAGTTATGACAGGAGATTTAAAACCAGCTGTTGAACTACATGAAATGCTTTATCAGGTTGTGAAAAAACATAAATTTTTACCAGAAGCTTTTACTACAGATTATAGAATACATTGGAATTCACATCCATTAAGACCAGAATTTGTTGAATCAACTTATTTTCTTTATAAGGTAAAAATCTATTTGACATAACAAAATTTTCATTCTAAGAAATTTTTCATATTTTAAGGCTACTGGTGATCCTCATTATCTCGAAGTTGGCCGAACAATATTAACAAATCTCGAAGAACATGCTCGTGTTCCATGTGGTTATGCTGCTATATCGGATGTTTCTACTGGTCAAAAAGAAGATCGTATGGATTCATTTGTATTAGCTGAAACATTTAAATATCTTTATTTATTATTCGATTCCATTCCACATCGTTATATGGATATAGATCAATTTATATTTACAACAGAAGCACATCTTCTTCCACTTAATTTTGGAATGTTTAATATTAATGATACATTAAGAAAAGAATTTGATAAAAAAACTTTATTATCAGCACAATTATATGAGCAAAAAAATCTTTCATTGACAGAAAGATTTAATGAAAATCGAGCTAAAAATAATCAATGTCCAGCCATGGATGATCAATTTAAATCACATCAATATAAAGAACAATTAAGAAGAAATATTCGTGGTGATCAAGATATGACCGAAACAATAACAACAACATCAGCAATTGAAATGGAAAAACGATCGAAAAAGTAAAAGACTAAAGTTTCATCTTTCAGTTGAATACATAGTTAGAAAAGCTAATATTCTCTTTCTCGTAGAGAAGAGTCCGGTGAACATAAATTGTTTGTCTGTCCGCAGGGTCAAAAAAACATCGAAAGTAATTTTTTCAAAATAGACATTTCTAGAGGTACTCCGATGCGGGGAATCCGAATCTAAGGTCTATTAGGTGATCATGGTTAGGGGGGGGATCAAAATAACATCGAAAACTGATTTTTTACAATTTCCATTTGTTTTTCCGATAAATGTGAAGAAAATGCATTTTTACGAGAAAGAGCTAAGCGAGTCCTCTGAGGAGCGTTACTTGTTATTTTCATAGTTTTAAACTCGAAGCACGATTTTCTAAAGTACTTTTAATAGTTTCATGGAGACTATTTTTATTTCTAGATCGACAGAATTGAATCTTTTATCAGGATCTTCAGTATTTCTCGGACAATTCAAGAATTGACTTTAAATTTTGACTAATATTTCAATGATTTCAAAATTGCTTGCATTCTGCAGCTTCTTTTAAGAATGAAATAACTTAATTAATTAAAAGCTTTTCAGCTCATCCTTTTTGCTAGAAGTAATTCTTAATGTAATAAAAAAATGCGGAAACTTCATGTGACTTTTGCTCTTCCATCACGAAAGAAATTATTGAAAAAAGTACGACTATGAATAATGACAGGTCTTAGAATCCACTAAAACATGAAATTAGCAGCTTGTAAATAATGAGACGCGTCTTATTCCTTACTATAAATAAAAAGGAGACTAAAATTAATTAACCAGACAATAAAAAATAAGTTTAAATCTTTCTAGTGCATCACATCCTCGATTAACTGCATCTGAATTTTCTGCTGGAAATTCTCAACATGTAATTCAACTATCACATATGGGCATTCAAATTCAAACAATGACAGATGGACGTAAGTAATAAAATTTCTTTCTTTTCATATTTATTCTTGTTTGTTGATGAAGGTATTCAATTAATTCATAATTCTGCAAATGCAGCATCACATGAAGATGCTAATAATGGTCTGATTTTTATACAAGAAATGTTAGATTTAATGAAAAATACGAATGGATTAAGTCAATCATCATCGGAATCTAAACATCATTTACCATTAACTGTTATTCCATTAATAAATTCTTCCTTAACAAAACCAATTCGTTTCTCCGTTGGTCCTGCTCAATTCGGACAGCAATTACATGGAAAACTTGGAGTAATTAAATTTTTTTCTCAATCATTTCTAATAATATCATATTTTATTTTCAGATCTTTGCTCAATTATATGTTGCTCAACCATTTTCGAGTTGTTCTCATTTATTTTCTTCTCATCATCTTTATTCACGTATTGGTATTGTCCGTCGTGGTGATTGTATGTTTATTGAAAAAGCACGTCAATTAGAAAATGCTCGTGCTATGGGTGGTATTGTTATTGATCATAATACATCATTAAAATCATCTAATGAAGGAATATTTTCTATGACTGGTGATGGAAATAATAATGTTAATATTCCACTAGTATTAATGTTTAAAGAAGAAGCATTTCATTTATTACATTTATTATCAAAACAACCAAATTTAATTGTTTATATTGGTGATGAAAGATTTTTTAAAGAAAGTTTCTATCAACAAACAGAAATTCTAGAAAGTCTTATTGAACCTTTCAATCAAACAAATGAAAAATGGGTCTATGGACAAGATAAATGGTTTAAAAGAAAAAATTTATGTTCAATTGTACCAAAAAAATTAAAACAATTAGAATTAGCCATTCATCAACAAGATAATCATGAAGAAATTGAAGATATAAATAAACTAACAGTTGCTCAATTCGAACATGTCATCGATACTGGTGAGATTATAAATAGAATAACTAATTAATTTATAACATTTCTTAATATTCGAATCCTTCTTGAGAAAGAATATTTAGTAAATCCATTAGGATGTATATGTGAATGAGTAGAATGCAAGTAAGAATAATCCATGTTATTGATATACATATTCACACCTTCACTCTTTAAATGGTCGAGCTAAGTGAGTTTCAAGTTTTTCGACAAATTGTGTGCTTTTTTTCTTGAGCATCATCAGTCGACTCAGTATATCTATTAGAACAATCAAAAACAGATGATTACAGTTTTTAGGTAGAGTTTTTCGCGAAAATTAGATATCCGTAAACCTTCTCATATATACGCGATATTTCATATAAAGTTCAAGAAATCTTTAGGTAAAATACATTACATACATAGTTAATCAATAATCCGGTAGGTATTATAGTGCATGAAATAACTTTGAATCTTGTTTTTATAGAAGTTAAATAGTCTAATTCTCAACGCTATAATAACCTTAGTGTTTTGGTCTTGAAATTATTAGAAATAAAAATTTTCTTCTTACTTCTCATTTAGACAATAATAAATCTGCTGAAGAAATAACTTCTGAATTATTTGCTAGTCTTAATTTAACCGCAGCTAATTTTGGTGGTCAATTAAGTAACATTGAAACATATCGTTTAGCACTTGATAAAATGATTCAAGCAGCGTTTGCTACAGTCAATCAATCATCTCTATCAAATGTTTCTACTACAAAAAAACAACAAGTTGATATTTCAACAACAACAACAACAACGGAAGAAGAACAACAAACATCGACGACAACAGCAACAACAACTGATACTCGAGAATATACAGAAAAAAGGCCGGAGACAAAACATAAACCTTAAATGACAGTTTTTTTTCTCTTCATTCATTGCCGGTGGTAATTGCTTAGTACCTTTTGTTTTTATTTTAACTTATTTTCTTGTCGTCGAGTTATTAGTTTAAAACGAATATATATATATATATCATATAGAAAGATCTTTCGGTACCAAATAACGATGTATATGACTACTGTTTCAAAGTTATTCTTTTTTTTTCTTGTATTCATTTCTTTTTTTGTTATTAATAAAATATATCAAGGCCGAAACATGGAATAAATTTATTAGTTTTCCTAGATGAGAAATTGATTCATATTCTTCGACTATGAAAATTTTCAATATTTCCTTTTAATTAGCGGTAAAGTCGAACTAAAGTATTTTTCAGCTAACGAGGGAACCTCACCGACATTAAAGTGCAAAAAAGATGTACATTTTCTGCGATGAAATTGTTAAGTTATATGAATTATAATTTCTTAAGTTTTTATATGATTAAATATAAGGTATATTGAAATCATAGACCTCCTTATACGAACTGACGCAAATGTTTATATTACTTTAATAACAAATAATATTGGTCTGTAAGTGACATGTCTATGTGAGATCACTGAAGTCCTATTTAATACTCTAACATCTCTATTTCATCTCTTGTTCTTTGGAGAAAATTGTAAAATGACTGTTTTATAATTATAGACTCCCTTGACAAAAAAACCTACTTTCTGATCGTTTCAAGTGTTCTAAACCTTTAATTTGAATACTTTATTGTTCTAATAAATGTTCTTTTACTTCTTCAGTTCTCTCTAAAGTTTTATCAAAAATATTTTACGTCGAAATTTGAAAGTTTAAACATCTGCTGGATTTTCGTCAATCACTAATGAACTTTTTCCAACAGACAATCCATTCATGTTCTTTGTCTACTTAAAACTAGGCAGGTAGACGTGGCGTCTCAAAGTAATACCAATATAATCGAGATCTGAATGTATGAAGAGGAACTGAAAAGAATTTTACTTGCAAACAGTAGTAGATTCCTTTCTCCTGTAATAAGGCTTTTAAAAAAAACTAGAATACAGATGCAAGTCGATCTCATTAAAGAAACTGTACTCTTCATATATCCATACTCACATTCACCTTCAATACAGGACAGCTTACATAATTGTAAATCTTGAGATTTACGAAAAATCTATTTCTTACACGAGAAGCGATAAAAAAACCAGTAATGTGTTGATATATAAGACAAAATAATCTTTCCTATAAAGCATTGTTTTACAAATGTCGCTGATAATGGGCAACATTCTTTGTACGAATAAACTAATCAATCGTTATTTTTTATCATATCTATCTTATGAATTAAGTAAATACTATAGGATTTTGCTGCTAAAATATGATGTCACTAAATTACAGAAAAGGAAACACAACCTCAACTGTTTTATGTAATTATAACTGTATAATCAATAATCACTGAAGTTCTATTTTTGTTTAATATTATATAAATATTTTTATTTTCTAATTCATTGAATATTATGATTCTTATGAAATACTTCAGTCGATTGATTAAATACGTTAGCAACATTCCCGAAAGTTACTGTAAATAATTTTTTATTATTATCTGTACAATTTCTTTTTATAATCTTGCAGAGAAAATTGTGGTAAAAAGTAATTGTAAGTATATAGTTAAATATTGTCGTTATCAGCGGTTTCGTATAGTGTGATAAGTATGATTAGTAGTTTTTTTAGCGTAGTATTGAGAAGATATTACATACAGTTGTTATTAAAGGGCTGATATATTAAAGTAAATTTTGATTTATTCTCTATGAAGCTTTAATGATATTAACTGACGTTTTATTATATATTTTCTTTTTTTTATACCGGATCATTGTATTAATCAATTAGAAAATTCTAATTTTTTATTGTGAAAAGCTGTAAATTAAGAGATAATATATGGATGACAATTATAATATCGACGTTTCGACCAACTTTGGTGGTTATTAACAAGATACTCCTTATTCCAGCACCACCATCTATACCGATAATCATTATAATTGTGTCTCTATACTTCACGAATTCATTTAATACTATATCATTGATGAGACAAATAATATAAATAATACGAAAATCTATTTTTTTATTGGGGAGATGGAGTATCTTGTTAATGACCACTGAAGTTGGTCGATATGATAAATGTTATCCTATTATTTCATAATTTTACAGTTCTTTACAATAAAAAATTAGAATTCCGTATTATTTTATTATTTGTCTCATCAATTATATTGTGTTAAGTCCAATATCATCATAAAAGTGTATAATGTATTAATTAGTAGTTTTTTGGTAAAAAACTTCACTCAAACAAAACCATCAACGTGTGCAATCGATAGAGCTCATCAAGTTCTGGCTTGATCTATCATTTCTAAAACCTAGTCCAAGCTCTAGACGGATTTTTACGCTTTTTTGGCATTTTTTACAGTATTTTTTTCAAGCATGATAAGGTCATTTAAGAATAGTGATTAGTACTTTTGATAGAACTGTTTAAGTTCTATGCTGGTTCATCGTTGGTCTAGTATGTTCCCGTTTGTGTACGAATACATCCGGAAAATACCCGAATCACGGCCTAAGATATCGTATCTAAATACCTAGAGCTAAAAAAGAAACAAAAAAATGAATACAATGTGAAGTGATTTATTCATGGTCATCTATAATTGATGAGATAGAGTAATGTATAAGCAACAATAGTATTCGATAATATGCATAATAAATCAAAATTAATGCGAACAACCGTATAAAAATGTCACAAGGACATATTTTTACCGTCTTTGACAGAGGTATAGATTGGTTTATTTTGATGTTACGGAAAAAAATAAGCAAATCGATAGGCAGAAGAAACCGCTATTGAATACTTTATTCATCATTTACGTAACAAATGCTATTCGAGTTATAAATGGTCCATGATATGAGAATTCGATGGATTCAAAGTGTTGCATTAAATACAAATAATCTTTATTACATAAATAACGAATAAAGTATTTAGTAGCGGTTTCTTCTATCTATCGACTTGTTTATTGTTTTTGTAACATTAAAATAAACCAATCTATACCTCTGCCAAGGACGACAAAAATATGTGCTACTGACATTTTTATACGGTTGTTCACATTAATTTTGATTTATTATGCATATTATCGAATACTATCGTTGCTTATACATTATCAAATCTGATCGATTATTAATATTTATTATGGTAAACGTCTATGGTCTATGCATCAATGATCACGGCAAGTGTGTTTCTTGATATTTTTTTCAATGATTTATTTTTTTTTATTTTATAGGTGTTGCATATATTCATTCTTCATTAGTTTCGATCGTTATTGGGTATAATTTAACGGTAAGTGTAATTATATTATTTTAACTTAGGGTACAAAATAAAAACGATAGCTTTGAATATCAGAGCTCGTTGTATTGATGAGAGGGCTGATTCTAAATTGGCTTATAATTCCATTCTTGCAGATATTCAAGATAATCAGTAGCTCGTGAATTAGTAAGAGCAAGAAATGTATTTTCTACTCATGGGAATTTTACTAAAATAATCTAGTTTCATTATTTTAATCTTTTATTCTACTATTTATAAAACACATAGAATGCATAAATTGTTTTCAGTTAAGTTTAGTCATAAAGATTTTTCAAATTAATTATGAAAAGTTAGTATGTTAGAATAGTCCTTTTACGTAATTTCTCAGTCATACCATTAGATGATACGTATACAATGATTACCTGAAAAAATAAGAAATATTTTTCTTTTGTCTGTCGTTAGTCTTTCTTGTGGGTATGGATGTATGTAACACAAGAAAATCATACCCATATCCCCATCCTTACTACTCATCCATCCACATCTGCATATACACCCTTTTATGTCTGCTTGGACATGTTTGAACTAAATTTATCTTATTTACTTTACTTATTATCTTCTACTTGTGATATAGTGTGGTTTCCTCAGTTACAGCCTTGAAATACGTAATTGCAAGAAGATGAATCCGATCATTGATGCGTCGACAACTTCCTCTTCGTCAGTTGAATTGACAGAAGCAATGAATGAAGCTTTTAAAGATACTGGTGAATTAGCAAGTAACGCAAAAAATTTCTATGATTTTATGGCCAAATATTTCCAAAGGCCAGATTGGACATTTATGAATTACGGCTTTGCAATCCAAGACAATGATCTTCACAAAACAATATTAAGAAATGGTGATGTTGACGATCTTAATCCTGCTCTATATTACGTTCAATTGTACTCTGCTGCTATCAGTGATACTAATTTGGAAGGATTAGATGTAATCGAAATCGGATGTGGTCGTGGTGGAGGTAGCGCATGGATTGCACGTAATTTCAATGTTAAATCGATGGTAGGAATTGATTATTCAGAAAATGCTATTGAATTTTGCCAAAAATGTCACGCAGCTATCCCCAATCTTCGTTTTGAACATGGTAATGCTGAATGTTTACCATATTCAAACAACACATTCGATATTGTAATTAATGTTGAATCATCACATTGTTATCCATCAATGGAACGTTTTTTAAGTGAAGTTTATCGTGTGCTAAAACCAGGTGGATATTTCTTATGGACCGATTTCCGCCAAGCTAAAGAAAAAACAGTTCTTCTTGAACAATTTAAAACATCTGGTTTAGAAATGATAGAAAAGGTTGACATTACTGAAAATGTTGATTTAGGATTTGATAAAGGAAGAGAGGCGAGACTTTCTTTACTCAAAGAATTTCCAAATGAATTGCAAACAAAATTAAAATCTTGGATCGAAACATCAAGGTATAAAAATGGTGAAACGTTTTTTTTGCGATGTAGATTTAAAAAACCATTGACACACAATATGCATTCGAACACCGACATATAATACAAGTAGCGTTCATCGGATGCCGATTCACTTAACCCTGGACTAACGGATTATGAAATAGGATTTGAATAACTAGTTTATAGGCTTACTAACTTATTTTAATTTTTGCAAACTAATCAAACCGTGCAGTTTTTTTTAATATTGTATAGTGATTACGAGAGTGTGTTGTAAGAGAATAGCTAATCGAAAATAAATACTGATCAAAAAACTAACGAATAAATAAAGATATACAAGGAAAAATTCAATTCGAAGTTCTTAACTCGTGCTTTTCAGCAATCAACATGTAAGAAATAGTAATTGTATATGTGTGGGTGTGAGAATCAAAGAAGTCACGATCGCACTTTCGATCTTTCTCACAGATCTCATCATGTAGATCTTGATTCTAATCGAAGGATCTTTGACTTTATGAATATCCTAAATGAGGGTAAGGGTAAGTCAAAGCTACGATGGTCGGTTTCGACTTTACTCAAAAGTCTCATATGATGGTTTGAGACTCGGATAATGTTGTTATGTAGTACATATTCTTGTCTGTCATGTTCGAATGATGAATCATTCTCCCAACATAAATACAACGACAATTTGTACCATTATTGTTGCAACATAATAGAAAATCTCTATTTCTTTATCGCTGTATAGGCAAGTAGTCCTAGTATATACAATAAAATAAAAATCAATATTGGCGGTCTGGCATCAACTACGCAATTCAACAACACATCGAATCTTGCCTCTTATGTCAACAATATATAATATTAATTGTTAGAAAAAACACGATCTACTTTAACCAATTTCACCACTTGAGAGTCCATTTTTGCTGATCGGCCTTCATCAAATTGTCTTTATTGTGAACAACAACAACATTAGTGTCGGCGCCAGGATTTTCCTCTAGGGTAGGCTCGGTCCACTCATTTTAGGAAAACTAAAAATGTAATAAATATATTTTCGTAGAACAAGCTATAGATATTTAATTTTTTCTTTATTTTTATATGAAAATTCATTTATTAATAGGTACAGTTAATCTATGTATATATTTTAACTTAGATTATACCATAAGAATAAAAACTTAATCTCAGAAAAATTTTGATTTTCATCAAATGAACATACGAAAATTATATATTGTATATCATATTGAAAGAATAATTTTATAAATTGTTATTTAAATTCAAAACAGAATACTATACTAAAACCAATTGATATATTAGTCTGTAAAAGTGATATGATATTGTGTACTACAGATGAAAAATAGTTCTTTAAATAAAGGCTTTGTTAAAAGTTCTTTCTATTTACATTTTGTTAATTGATTTTTCGAAATAATAAGATGATACACTAAGATTTTATTTATACGGATAAACTTTGACATGTTATGGGAACAAAAAAAAGATTTTGTGATTATTTTCTATTATTCTCTAGTTTTTATCAGTTTTTTTCGTCAAATTTTAATTTAGTATGTTTACAGAAAAAAACAAAATAAATGGTAAAGTCAAAATTCAAACAGATATTATTCAACAGATTTCTAGAAATAGAAACCAGACAAGATTTTTGTATCATTTTTGAAAGATCTTAACTTCGAAGAGTACTTCACAACATTGTTTCTATAAATAAACTGATCAACCATCTTTTTACCATATTCTTCTTATGAATTAAGTAGATACTATAGGATTTTATTGCTAAAATATGATGTCGTCAAAGTGCAGCAAAGGAAACACAATCTCAACTGTTTGTTGTAGTTATAACCAGGGTTCCGAATGGTAAGTGTACACAGTAGAAGAAAAATGGGTGAAACACTTGCGATTTTTGAAATACACGCTGTTTTACACGTTGCTGGCGAAAACAAAATGTACACGGTACACTCTGCGAACAAAATTAATACTTTATTTTTTTAAGCCATAAATTGATTTCTTTTCTGTTTAAATTTAGATGAATTGATTTTGATGAGAGTTGTTCAAAATGGTTGTGCAATTGCTGTAGAATTAAACTTACGTAAGTTAAAAGTTTATTTCATTTATCATACAAATCTGTTTTTCTTTCTCTAGAATTAATCTAACGTATAAAATATAAACAAAAACAAAATAACGACATATACAATAAAATCATGTTTTACTATTTAATCATTTCTTTCATAAGTTTATTAATTGTTTGTTGATCTAATCGATGTACACCGGATAGATGTCGTCGAAAACTTTTACGAGTTATTTCTTGTGTTAAACATGGTGTATTTATAAGATCAGATCTTGTTGAAAATGGACATTTTACTTTATGATATGGATCAAATAAGGTTGATGGTGTATCATTTGTTAATGAAAATAATTTCGTTTTCTTTGGATCTTTTTGTTCAATAATAGCTTTAACAAGACGAATGGATATTTGACGTGTAAAACCATGTTTAGAATTCAAATGTTGATAAAGACATATTTTTTTATTCGAATTTCTTGATTTTGTACATAAAGAATGTTGATGATATTCTTGAATTAAACCAAATGCTCCATCAAATGTTAATGGACATTCATCGGAATATGAACGACAACTTATAGATTGTTCAAATCTTTTCTTTGATATCTATTTAATTAGTTAATTATTTAAATATGCTTAAACTTATATTTGATCATACCTTTCTTTTTCCCTTGATTTCATAATCTGAATCATCATTTCTATTATATAATTCACTGTAATCGAAGTCTAAAAAGAAATTTTATTGATAGAAACTAGAATAAAATTGTTACCTTCATCAGTTGAGTGTCTCATTATTTTAGTATAAAAATCTGAATTAAAAAATTACGGATAATAATATGATATTATTTATGAAATGATTACCTTCACTATTTTTCCATGGTGTTATTTCATTCCACCATTCGATTTCTTTAGCATATCTAAAAGTAAAAATAAAAATCGAATAGATTCTTAATTATAAATTCTTACACATTTGATTCAATTTTTTCTTGCTTTTCATTTGGATCTAAAATATCAGCAGAACAAAGATTTTTATTTGTATTCGAAAAATAATTTACCTATATTTTCTGATAATTTAATTGAATGATTAATATTCTTGTCTGATGTATGATGTTCTTCTTGATTTGTACATTCTTTTAAAAGATCAGGAACATTTTCTTGTTCATCTAGATCTGAATCAAGAGTAACAGCTAAATAATAATGATAATAATAAGGAATTTTCTAGTATAATTTGAAATAAAATATATATATATACTTGATGATGAATGTTCCATTTCTTTTTGATCATCATCAGCGATGGTTGTTTGATGAGAGAGCCAATGTCTGTAGCATAACATATGTCCGCAGTGTGTATTACAAAGAAAAACAGCAATTGGAGGAGCACCCAAAACAGGAAAACATGTTGGTTGTGTACAATATCCTCTACCAGAAAACATCTTAGGCATAATATAAATCGTTAAATATGTGTCACATGTTCCGATTTGACGTATACATATAGAAAGAGAGAAATATGCATGACGGACGACAGAAAGGGAAAAATGTAGATACATACGAACGTTAGTAAATTTAAAGTTCGTTTTTATGAATCTAAAGAAAAATTTGAATGAACGAATCGATAATAACTTGTTTTGTATTGACGTAAAAGCAAAAAAATTTGAATAAATTTTGATATTATGACCAATCAAACAAACAAAGAATCAATAATTAAGAAGTTTTTCAAGATAGTGAAGGATATTGATTCATACATTTTCACAGGGGTGCAGAATATGCCCTTCTGCGCGAACGCACGTTCGGGGAAATTTTTTCTATCGGGAAACAATAAGGAAATTTTTTAAATGAAAATATTATTTTATACGTAAATGATCTGATATGTTCATTAGGATAGAGTATATTTCAAACATATCATAGTCTCTTCTATCTTTTCATTTCTTTTACTTGAATACTGAGAGGAAATTTTTCGTTTTTACAGAAGACTCTGCACCTCAGCATGTTCACTATATGACATTTTGATATTCTGATTAGATCTCGAATATTATATATTTGTTATTTGTTATAGCAAAAGGAGATTTGTGAGAATTCTATAGAAATATCACCATCATCGTAAAAACTGAATTCAGTATTATTGTGAATCAATGTTTCTCTATCGTTGATATATTTATTTTTGCTTATCGAATTTCTTATAATATATACATATTCTCTCAAAAAGGTGCAATTACGTCTTCTTTACATGTCATATCAATAGTTTTTATTAAATAATTCTTTCTTTCATGTCAGATGATATTTTAAACAAGAATAAAAACAATCGAAAATAAATCTTTAATATATACATTTGTACTGTTATTCTTCATTCTACCATAATAACACGTTCGTCAATTAAACTCATTCCATCATCATCATCATCAATATTTCGTTCATCATCATTATCATCATCATCAGTTAAACTTAATTCTTGCCCAGTACTTCTTGTTGGTTGTGATTGATGAATAAATTCCGATAAAGTTCTTTCCGTACATTTCGCAATAAAACGTATTAATGGTCGAACATCACCATCATTTGCTTGATCTAAATGTGAATAATAAATTAAACGTTCAGATTTCTTTATAATAACTGGTGGAAAACCAGATCTCATTAAAATTAAATTCATTAATAAACGTCCTGTTCGACCATTACCATCAATAAATGGATGAATATAAACAAATTTATAATGTGCAAGAGCAGCTAATTCAATAGCATGAAGATCTCGAGTATCTTCTAATGAATTAAGCCAAATAAGAAAATCATCAAGATATGCTGCAACTTCATGAGCTGCTGGCGGAATAAATGATCCAACATAAACTTGGTGTTGACGTAATTGACCGGCTTGTACTGGATCAACAAAACCTAAAACTCGACGATGTATTTCAAATATATCTTCAAGTTTTATTGAACCAAGACGATTAACTAATGTACAATTAACATATTGTAAAGCTAAATCAAGACCGAGAACTTCTTGTTGTTCAATAAGAGATTTTCCACCAATAGCCATTCGTGTTTCAACAATATGTCGAGTTTCACGAAGATTTAATGTATTACCTTCAATTGCATTTGAATGATAAATATGTAAATAATAAGCATCACGTTTAGCTCGTCGTAAATACGGATTTGTATCCGGAATACGATAGAGTTCTTGAAGAAGATTATCAACTAAAGTAAAATGTTTTTGATCAATTTCTTCAACTAATGGTAATGTACGTTTTTTTAATTCTAATGCACGAGGATTTGTTGGTTGTTTAACAAGTGCACGTGTATATAAACTATCAGCATGTATTAAATCTTTATGATGATATTCAAGAAATTGTCCATATTCAACAAGTATTTCAGAATTATAAGGATCAAGTGTTAATGCATGGTCAAAAACTTTTCTTGCTTTTTCAAATTTATTTTCAGTAATTAAACGTAATGCTAAATGAAGTGCCGTTTCTGCTTCTTGTCGAAGATCTACGTGAAAATATAAACATATGTTTTTGCAGTATTATATAAAGAAAGTCAATTGATATTTACCACTAGAAACATTTTTTTGTTTTGCTTGATCTTTGGTATATTTTCGTTCTTTATTAAATGATTCTTGTTGAGGATTATGTGCTTGTAATTCATGAGTTTTTTGTGATGTACATTGTAAAGATGTTACACCTGCTGGAAAGAAAATGTGACTTGATGTAAATAAACTAAGCGATGATGATGTTGATTGAAGTGTTGTTGGAGAAATTTTAATTAGTAAAATCGGTAATAGAACATTGATAATAATAGAAGTAAAAAGTGAGAGAAGAAAAAATAAACATAGTGTAGTTAAAGATTGACGAAAATCAATTGAATAACATCGTTCGACAAGACGACGAAAACCATGTCGGATAATAATGGGATATACTAGTGGCATTTAATATCGATATTTTCAAAGTTTTAGTGGAAAACATTGTATAAAGCGTCTACAGGCGCGTGAAGAATTTATTACATGAACATCAATTTTATTTTGATAGTTTCATGAATCTAAAAAAACAAAAGAAAACATTTGTCTAATAACATTCGAAATCGATCGAATTTTAACTAAATGATACTAAAGAAAATATAATAAACTATGTAGTTTTATTTAGTTTTTCTTGTTCAAATAATTCTTTGATTTGTTGTGTTGCAGTCATTTGTGGATATTCAATATCAGTAAGATCTTTATCTGGATATATTCTTAATGTTCGATCAATTGGTTTATTTGTAAATGGTGTCCATGTACCTTGTATTGATGGAGAATCTGTATGCATTTGTTTTAATAATCTCCATTGTGGATCACCTTGTTGTGTTAATAATGAATGTATCCACCAATTAACATGGGATCGATCACAATTTGAAAGTGGAATCCATTGACGATCACCACTTAAATATTCTCCAATAACATTCGGTGGACGATGACGACGTGGTTGAACATAAATAACAACATATGGATGTTGTCGAGCAAATGCAGTTAATTCATTTGCAATCCATTCTCTTGTACCAAATGATGTACGAAATTCTTTGCATACTTGTATAGTTAAACGTTGTAATTGACAAACATATCGAGAACCAATACCATTTTGAAGACGAGTAGAAATATATTTTGCAGGTGTTACTTCATCAAATGAATGAAAAGAACGTATCGATTGAATAGGTAATGAAATGAAACGACGAAACAATTGAGACATCTAAATAGAGATGGAAAGAAGATATATTTTTATATTGCGTGCGAAAAATAGCAATCTGTGTGTATGAATTGGTTATAAGCAAGTCTATCATTGGTGAAAGAGAATCTAACAATACAAAGATTGATATCATAGAGGGCGCTAGATAATATTAGTTTTTGCTAGTATATATTCAATATTATTTATCGCTAAAATTCATGAAAATTCCAGATTAATATCTAATCCAAAAGATAGCCAGACTAGGCTTTTTCAATTTAACGTTAAAACTCTTCGAATTATTGATATTCTTGGGAACTTTTAATTGTATTATGTCCACAACCGATCCCATATGAAGGTCATTTGAATTGTGCGTTTGTTTATTCGTTGAAGAATGTACTTTGGACGTCATACCTTGATAAAAGCATGATGTTGATTTCTTTCCATATATGTTTTTGAAATATGGAGCGACATGTGAAAATATATGTTGATGTAATATGCCTCTTTGATAAATGATACACAGTATGATGCTTTACTGACTGTGCGTTCGATTTCTGCTTCTGGTAGATCCAATAAAAAAGAAAAAACATCTCTAACATTAGACTTCAAGCAAATTAGATGAGAGAAGAATGATTTAGAATTGACTTATTCTAGTTTGTTTTTATATACATTACTTTGCCACGATTATCTTCTTTAATAAAAAATAGACATAACTAAATTTTTTTTATTTATATAATAAATTTGATCATTCAAAAATAATCTTCATTGCCAGAGACATAAAGCCTGTTAATCAGTCACCGATACATACTATGTATTAGAACAAATTCGTAAAAGATAAAATTAAAAAAAAGCATTTATCGCTCTTTTACTAACTTTACTGTTTACTGTTTTTTGTTTATAACGATACTAATAATCAGTGGTTTTCTTGGCCGTAGTACTTCACTGTACGTGTTAGAAGTAAAGTTCTATAAATCCAAATAAATTGATTGTCAAGAGTCAGTTTTTACGTGCTGAATCTATTGCTACAAACTGAGAGTAGTTTTACAACAAACCATAAAATATACGTTTTCCATAAGACAAAATCATTTTTTGATGCAAAATTACAAATAGTTCCGTTAGTTTTCCATCGAGTCCTTTCTCAGTGGTAACCATTTTGATAACTCTGCGTTATATCTGATAGTAGACCTACCATGAAAATTCTGTATAACTTATCTTTTATAGAATACTCATAGCCATTCACACATAGTCTTGTTCAATTCCTTAATTCCATTTATTCATAATCATGCATTTGAATTTTCTTCTTTTGAAGTGAATATCTACAGGGTATAAACATTTCTCGAGGTAACCTGCTAAAAAAGTTACCTATTCTAAAAAGAAACTTGCTCAAGTTGAAAGTGATACGCATATTTCACCGCTTTTTTATTTGTCTGACTGATTACTACTATATTATCTTGAGATTCCCTTATTGGAGAAAAATTATCTTGATAATACTTTTAGGATGGATGTAGTATGAACATAGGAGGCCCTTTTAATGTCAAATACAAAGTATTGTCGTGATTTTTAGAAAAAGGAAACAGATAACAAGTTTGAGAATGATTACATAAAATACTTATACCAATAGTCCTTTCCAATGAACTACAAAAAAAGAAATATCTTGATTTATTCAGCATCACTCTAAACCTGCCATGGAAAATTTCTCTAAACGTGTCCAAACATTCAGTCCAATTTTAGTGCCATTTTCACCAGGCGGACGACCCGCATGATATGTCAAATGATCAACTCGTCCATACTCATCTATATTGTACCAGAAGACTGTATTTCCTGCTATTGGTCGAAATCGAAGGCCGTGTTCATTGGCTTTTTCATCACAAACTAAGATATCACAAAATTCCCCATGTAATGTTCGATTGAATGGAATCGCAACAAATTCAGTTTCACCCATAGAACAATTGGCTTGAAGATAGGTAAAATACGTTGTCACTCGTTGACCACCAATTTCCAGATGATTCGGACTTGTCATCCAGTCATAGTGAGGTGTATACTAGAATGGTAAATGCAAATAAATAATGATCAATACTAACACACAACAAACGAGTTTTTATACAACCTAAACTCTACTCTATAATACAAAGAATTCTTAGCAAAAGAACTTAACTTATGTTTTCTTTTCGTTAGAGCCAATTTTAACAACAACAGAAAAATTAATTTCTTTTAGTCAAAAATGAAAGCTAATAAGTACTACCAATCTAGCTAAAGCTAAAGCTAAAGACTGGAATGTATAGAAAATGGAATTCAAATTTGGTAAAATTATGTCATACCTCTTGATCATTTGTATATTTTACTACTTGAAATGGTTCCATCGAATCGACATCAACATCGCCTTGAAATTGAGCAAATCGGCGCTCGATGCATTGTACAATTGGTGTTTGATGACGTTTGAGAAATGCTGAACTTGATGTTCGATCTTTATTGATAGAAGGTTTTCCGTCGGGCGCAGTAGTTACTGAAGGTTTCAGTTCCTTTTCTCTAATACACACAATATAGGTAAAATGGAAGTTTATGATAATTTAAAGTTTTAATCTCTTGAATATTTAGTAAAAAGAACTTAACATTTTAATTTTCACTGCTTTAAAAAATGAGGAATATATATGTGAGATTCCTTTTACTCACGCCAGTTTGATTAGATGCTGCATTTCATTTTGAGTAAGAAACTTTTCAATATAGATTATCAATGGACTTCGTTCAATAATACGAGTAGAGTATTGATGACTAGGGCATTTATGTTTATATTGTGATAAATCATAATTATCATTCGCTTGTGCCACTTTGACATCCTTCTTACAAAACTTCGATTGTATAAATTCATTTACTTGCTGCCGAATGTGCGACTTCAGGTCGTTTAAATATTCAGTAATCTGAAGATTTGTTCCAGTTGTTTGAAAAATGGTCTCTCGGAATTGAAAAATTCTTAAGAGACAGCCTAAGATCAGAAGCCCAAAGAACACTATATTCAACAAAATAGAGATATATAAAATATTGCCATACTATCAGACAACAATACCTTTTATTATTCGATGCATATATATTTATTTCGATAGCCGAGAATTTTAATGCTTATTATTGCGCTTCGTACAATGTTTAGATATGGTTTAGACTTCTCTATTCTGAAACAAACAGGAATCTGTAATCGTAGTTGTATTTCAGAGACTCCTAAATATCTCGAAATAAAACAAATCTACATAGAAAAAAATAATGAAAAAAGACAATGATCTATATGCTACTCCTCTTGTTGATTCTTCATTTCTCGTTGAAACAATAAAAAAAGTAAAGAAAGTGATTAGAAATAGAAAGTGTGACTTGTAAAAAATCAGTTGTATGAACTAAAGCTAAACTTATCGATATATATAATGTCAAATGAAATATCTTCCATAATTTCAAACACTTACGCTACAGGAGGCGCATGTTGTCAGAAAATAAAAAAGAAAAAAAACTCAATCTTTGATTTTTTTTTTATAAAAAAATGTTTGTCTGTGTTTATGTAAGAACAGAAAGAGAAGCTATTCGAGAGTTAAATTCACTGATGATCGAGCCATTAGTAGTGGAGAGGTTATGCATTGACTACTATAGCAACATTATTTCGAACGAACAAAAGAGAAAAATGAAGTCTATTGAAAGACATGCATAGAGATCAATTTTTAGAGCATAAGCATTTGTTTTTTTTGATTGATTGAATATAGATCTTCTCTGTAGTTTCATTTATGTCTACATCCTTATCTTCAGCTCGCTTTCTAATGTGTGGGTGTGGATGTGTTTATCCTTCACATTCATTATCTTACACTGATACCGACACCGACACTCACATCGAAATTCGCACAACATATCTAGAAACTCTACTTTATAAGATTCATAAACCGAAAAACGATGATAGATATCGTACAAAACAACTGAATGACAGATAATACTGATAGATGAAATTAAATCCTTAGTTATATATGTGATAATTGCCGGTAAAATCAATAACTTAGTTTCTTCGATCATATTGATTTTTTCACAATGATAATTTTTAAAGATTATCATTATTTAATTATCACTTGATAAAAGTGAAAAAATATCTATATGTGATCTAGTCTATTGAAAAATACTAATTGTCTTAGTCTCTATGTCTTCTTAAGTAATACTATTTTGCACATCACTTACGGTCGACTTGTTGACACTATGAATAACAACTCTATACTCTATTTGATGAAGTACTCTTTTTCTGTGAAACAAAAGACAAATGAATAATAATGAGAACGATGTTATTCTTCATGGTTAAACGTTTCTTTTTCTCAGTAAAAATTATGAAGAGAAGAACGATTGACTAAAAACAATAAAATATTCTTCTTTTTTTTTCTGAATATTATGCGATGCGTATGCAAATATTGATTTTCTTTTTTCTTTTCCATTTCATATAGAATAGAAGAATTACTTTGCACGATTCATTCAATGAAACTATACCAAAATATATGAAGATACTTTAGGAAAATCAAGTACATCGATTCGTACAATAAAAACGTTCTCCACGATATCAACTTGTTTTCTTTTAGCAATCTTTCTAAGGAAACATATTTTGAGTAAAACCAGCCATTAACCTTAGTGAGGCTCACAATATTTTTTTCCACTGTGAACTTTTACTAAAACATGAAGCAAAATATAAGTCTTCTTGTATTGATGTTGATTGTAATTCAGATTTAGTCGCAGTCACATACGCTGTTGATGGCGCACAACAGACTGATTCATACTTTGACAATTATTTTTCTGACTGTTCATCGGTAAACGAAGAAGATGTGTTCTGCTGTCACTGATCATCAACAACCACAATGAATGAATCTTTAGCTGCAATTTCTTCAATATTTACGTCGATACCATCATTGATAGAAGTTGATAAATGAAGACTTGATTAAGCATCTTCTACTGACTTTTGTTGTTATTTCCTTTCTACCGTGAAAGATAGATGAATATTTGAACGTAAAAACTAAACATACGGACAAGAAAAACATGTGAGAAAAGAAGAAAAATACCTGAACAGTATATAGAGAAGGGGAATATTCAAGTAAAAGAAAAGAAAAAAATACATGAGATATATAAGTTGTATGTTACATCTATGCGAATGTGTTTTGGAATCCGGGGAGTAACAATTCAAAAAACCAAAAAAATCTGGAAAATTTCTGATATCGTTCTAACAGAAGAGAATAATAATATTCTTTAATAAATGTGTATGGTTGTCTACGTTAATAACGATGGTTATCGTCTACCTAGTGCCATTTTACTTTACCGTGCTCTGCACTTCTATTAGTAAATATACACTGACGTGCACCTTGAGAGTGCGGGTGTCTAGTAAAAAGTGAACCACATCACTTATCTTCAAATCAAATGATTTCTCTTCTTTCTTGTACATGTTTTTTTGTTCAATAAACTCCTAAATCTTTTTTAAAAAAATTTCCGAATTTTGAGACAATACCATCTATACGATATAAGAGTAGAGAAAGAAAAAATGCATAAAAAATAGGTGAAACACATCATAAGATAGATATGTCAGAATATATATCTAATTAAGTCAAATACCGAACATAACACATTCTATTAATAAAAGACAATATTCAATCCGAAAATAAATAAGACTGAGCCTCAAGGACTGAAAACCAAGTGAGTCTCAAGTCTCTAGGCTCCGCTGCCACTGCTCTATAGCTGACATGGAAAATTTCTCTAAACGTGTCCAAACATTCAGCCCAATTTTAGTACCATTTTCACCAGGCGGACGACCTGCATGAAGTGTAAAATTATCAGCTTGTCCATACTCATCCATATTATACCAAAAGATTGTATTTCCGGGTATTGGTCGAAATCGAATGCCATGTTCAGTGGCGTTTTCATCACAAACTAAAATATCACAAAATCGTTCATGGAATGTTTTATTAAATGGAATCATAACAAATTCAGTTTCGCCCATAGAACAATTGGCTTGAAGATAGGTAAAATATGTCGTTACTCGTTGACCACCAATTTTTATATTATTCGGATCTTTCATCCAGTCATAGTGAGGTGTATACTAGAATGGTAAATGCAAATAGACAATGATCAATTTTAACACACTACAAATGAGTTTTTATACAGCTTAAGCTGTACTCTATAGCACAAAGGATTTATAGCAAAAGAACTCAACTTATGTTTTCTTTTCGTTAAAGTTGATTTACACAAAAACAGAAAAATTAATTTCTTTTAGTCAAAAATCAAAGCTAGAGAGTATTATAAAGCTGTCAATCTGACTGAAGCTAGAAACTTGAATGTATAGAAAATTTGATGAAATTATGTCATACCTGTTGGTCATTTGTATATTTTACTACTTGAAATGGTTCCATAGAATCGACATCGACATCACCTTGAAATTGAGCGAATCGTCGCTCGATGCATTGTACAACAGGTGTTTGATGACGTTTGATAGCTGCTGTACTTGACGTTCGATTTTTAGAAACAGCAACTTTTCCGTCAGGTGTCCCGACTTTTGAAGGTCGAAATTTCTTTTCTCTAACATATATATATATTGCAGGTAAAATGAAAATTTATAACAATTTAAAACTATTTTATTTTGTTTCATATTTAGTAAGAAAAACTTAACATTTTAACTTTCATCGTTAAAAAAATGAAGGTGAAGATAAAAGTGAAACGGTTCTCCATATCTTGACCCTCGAGTAGTAGAAGTTAAAATCTTCAACTTTTCTTCTATACAATGAGATACACATAAATATGTATGAACTTCCTTTTACTTACGCTAGTTTGATTAGATACTGCATTTCATTTTGAGTAAGAAACTTTTCAATATAGATTATCAATGGACTTCGTTCAATAATACGAGTAGAGTATCGGTGTTGTGGACATTTATGTTTATATTGTGATAAATCATAGTTATCATTCACCCGTGCCACTTTGACATTCTTCTTGCAAAACTTCGATTGTATAAATTGGTTTACTTGCTGGCGAACATGCAACTTAAGATCGTCCAAATATTCAATAATCTGAAGATTTGATCCAGTTGTTTGGAAAATGGCCTCTCGGAATTGATAGATTCTTAAGAAACAGCCTAAGATCAGAAGCCCAAAGAGCACTATGTCGAACAAAATAGAGATATATAAAATAATGTCACTTTATGAGACAATAATACCTTTTATTATTCGATGCATATATTTTATTTTTATATACGAGAATTTTAATGCTTATTGATGACTACACTTGACTTCGTTGGTGGGACTGTGTTGCAATTCTAATATATAATAGAATGGAAGATGTAAAATAGTGTGCACAATTTGTATTTCTTGAAAATGTGTATTCAATGAACAGAGGGAATACAATAGAGATCATGGTAGTCATCATTCCCCTATTCAATCTCTCATAAGAACCAGTGAAGTAAGACTCGAAACAGATAAATTCTGAGAGAATACGATTAAGATTTTGAGAAGAATCAAAGTATTTAAATCTCATTTGTTGAAAAAAGTTTAAATCTGACTTAGACTTCTTTATTTTGAAGGGAATAAGGATGGTCATAGAAAAGCTATGTGCAACTCTAAATAGGGAATTATGTTATTCAAACCTTTTCGATGATAATGAACTTAGTATTTTGTAAAATATCTAAAAGAATCGAGAAAAATCAGCAACACTGTAGACCGGCAGTAGATAAATGAAGTCAGAAAAATCAAAATAATGCAACGACAGACGATAGAAATCAACGATGAATAAATCGTAGTTGTATGTCAGAGATCCTAAAATTCCTCGACATTAAACAAATCTCCGTCGAAAACAATAATGAAGAGAATAATCTATGCTTCTCCACTTTTTTATTCGTCATTTCCCATTGGAACAATAAAGAAGTAAAGATAGTGACGACAAGTAGAAAGTGTTACTAGTGGTTAATCAGTTGTGTGAACTAAAGCAAAACTTATCGATATATATAATGTCAAATGAAATATCTTCCATAATTTCAAACACTTACGCTACAGAATGAGCACGTTGTCAGCAAGAAGAAAAAGAAAAAAACAATCTTTGATTTTTTTTATAAACAAATGTTTGTCTCTGCTTTTATAAGAAATTTTTTTTTATAAGAACAAAAAGAGAAGCTATTCGAGAGTTAAACGCATTGTTGATCGTTCTATTAGTAGTGAAGAAGTTATGAATTGTTTACTATAGCAACATTATTTCGAACAAACAAAAGAGAAAAATGAAGTCTGTTAAAAAACATGCATAGAGATCAATTTTTGTAGCATGAACATTTGTTTTTTTTGATTGATTGGATATAGATCTACTCTATAGTGTCATTTATGTCTACATCCTTATTTTTTAGCTCGTTTGCAAATATTTTAGAAAAATAGAAAAACTATTCTATTGCATTTATTTTATTTTTATAATATTAGTCATTTACAGACTATTATAATAAACCACAAGGATACTTTGTATGATTGGTATACAGTATTTGACAGAGCATCGACTAGAATTAATATCAAGGAATATCGATTTGATAAGATGTTTAACAAACATATATGAAACAATCATGTTCACGCTTTGTTTTGACTATACATATTGTCAAAAATGACTTGACTTGCCCATGTCTGAGTATAATCATAATCGTAACACTGTAAAAAATGTCTAAATGTAGTACTTATAAATGAGATGAAAATAATATTCAATTATATCCATCGTTTATTATGTAAATCACTATAATGCAAAGATAGCTTTTCGTAAACTTTATGAAAACAGAAACAAATAGTCACAGAGAGCAGAGTAAGTCAGTAATCTGATTACACATAACAAAGCTTAACTGTGGTCAATATATGAAGACAAAAGAAAAAGATGCATCAAGCAAATTGCTTATGTTAACAACACAATACTATTTTGTACATCACTTACGGTTGACTTGTTGACACTATGAATAACAGTTCTCGTACTCTATTTGATGAAGTACTCTTTTTCTGTGAAACAAAAGACAAATGAATAACAATGAGAAGGATGTTATTCTTCATAGTTAAACGTTTCTTTTTCTGAGTAAAAATTATGAAGAGAAGAACGATTGACTAAGAACAATAAAATATTCTTCTTTTTTTCCTGAATATTATGCGATGCGTATGCAACTATTACTTTTCTTTTTTCTTTTCCATTTCATATAGAATAGAAGAATTACTTTGTACGATTCATTCAATGAAACTATATCAGATCTATGAAGATACTTTAGGAAAAACAAGTACATCGATTCTTACAATAAAGACGTGCTCCACGATATCAACTTGTTTTCTTTTGGCAATCTTTCTAAGGAAAAACGTTTTGAGTAAAATTGCGGTAAATATTACTATAATGTATAATTGAAGTGTATTTGAATATGTAAGGACGTAAAGTGTGTCATGCTCCAGTATTTCTAATATATTTTCAAAACTGTTTTACTGACTTTATCGCTGTAAGGTATCTTCGCGTATTGAAACTGTTACAAGTTCCTCACAAAGCCTCTGGAGGGGCACTCTCACTTGAACTCTACAAACTTTTGGTGATTGTAAGACACTTCTGCTGCTTTGGTAACTCCATGGTTTTATAAAATCGCAAAAGTCAAACTACGTATGCGACTTTTCAAAACCGTTTTGTGTAGTGACTAGAAAATACCACAGTTTAAACCGGTTATTGTAAATCACGTTTTCCCGGATGACACTTCACTGCGATTTTTTTATGCATGGACTGCTCGAAAGCTTAATAGTTGAGTAATCGATTTCTTTGGCTCTTTTTAGCCCATACAGAATACTAGAACAATGTATTTTGATCTTTTCTATATATTTTGTTTCGATCGAATATGGGTGTGGTTATGGTATGAAGGTAACACTTACATCCACACTTTCCACCAGACACACTCCCATTCAATGACAAATAGATAATAAGCTAGAGAATATTTATGTAAAACAGTTATCTTAATAGTTCTTTTCACTCAACTATCAAAAGAAATATTCTGATTTTTTCAGCATCACTTTATAGTTGACGAGCGTAATTTCCCTAACCGCGTCCAAACATTCAGCCCGATTTTAGTACCATTTTCACCAGGCGGACGACCCGCATGATATGTCAAATCATCAACTTGCCCATACTCATCTATATTATACCAAAAGATTGTATTTCCTGCTATTGGTCGAAATCGAAGGCCATGTTCGGTGGCTTTTTCATCACAAACTAAAATATCACAAAATTGTTCATGTGATGTTCTATTAAATAGAATCGCAACGAATTCAGTTTCACCCATAGAACAATTCGCTTGAAGATAGGTAAAAAATGATGTTACTCGTTGGCCACCAATTTTCAGTTCATTCGAATTTGCCATCCAGTCATAGTGAGGTGTATACTAGAATGGTAAATGTAAATAGATAATAATCAATTCTAACGCACAACAAATGAGTTTTCATACAAAATGAACTGTATTTTATATTGCAAAGACTTTTCAGCAAAAAAAATCAATTTTCATAAAAACAGAAAAACTATTCTTTTTAGTCAGAAATGAAAGGTAGCGAGGCTATCAATCTGACTGAAGCTAGAAAATGGAATTTAAGTTCGATGAAATTCTGTCATACCTCTTGATCATTTGTATATTTTACTACTTGAAATGGTTCAATACAATCGACATCAACATCGCCTTGAAATTGTGCAAATCGGCGCTCGATGCATTGTACAATAGGTGTTTGATGAGGTCTAATAAATGCTGAACTTGACGTTCGATCTTTACCAATAGTAGCTTTTCCGTGAGCTGTCCCGATTGTTGAAGGTTTAAATTCCTTTTCTCTAATATAAATAAATTGTAGGTGAAACAAAAATTTATGATAATTTAAAACTATTTTATTTTGCTCAATATTCATTAAGAAGAACTCAACATTTTAACTTCCACTGCATCAAAAGTGAGGAATATATATGTGAGATTTACTTACGTCAGTTTAATCAAATACTGCCTTTCATTTTGAGTAAGGAACTTTTCAATATAGATTATCAATGGACTTCGTTCAATAATACGAGTAGAGTATCGGTGTTGTGGACATTTATATCTATATTGTAATAAATCATAGTTATCATTCACTTGTGCCACTTTGACATTTTTCTTGCAAAAGTTCGGCTGTATAAATTCATTTATTTGCTGCCGAATATGCGACTTCAGGTCGTTTAGGTAGTCAATAATCTGAAGATTTGATCCAGTTGTTTGGAAAATGGTCTCTCGAAATTGATAGATCCTCAAGAGACAGCCTATGATCAAAAGTCCAAAGAACACTATGTCGAACAAAATAGAGATACATAAAATATTGTCATTTTATGAGACAATAATACCTTTTATTATTCGATGCATATGTATTATTTTTATAGGGGAGAATTTTAATGATTATTGATCACTGCACCTGATTTTGATGCTGAGTTTGTGTTACAATTCTAATAAGTAATAGAATAAAAGATATAAGATAGTGTGCACAATTTGTATTTCTTAGAAATGTGCATCTAATGAACATAGGGAATGCAATTGAGATCATTAAAAGGGACATTCTCCTATTCAATCTCTCATAAGAAACTTTATTTGCTGAAAATTTTTAAATCTGACAACTAGGATTCTCTATTCTGAAACAAATAAGAATCAGTATTCGTAGTTGTCTATCAGAAATTCGTAAATTCCTAGACATTAAATAAATCTACATAGAAAAGACAAATAGAAAATTTCATAAGTGGTTGATCAACTGTGTGAAATAAAGCTAAACTTATCGATAGATAAAATGCCAAATGTAATATATCCCATGATTTCAAACACTTACGCTACAGAATGCGCACGTTGTTAGAAAATAAAAAAGACTGAATCCTTGACTTTTTTTTATAAAGAAATGTTTGTCTCCATTTATGAAAGAAAAGAAAGAGAAGCCATTAGAAGTGGAGAAGTTATGTGTTGATTACTATAGCAACATTATTTAAAACGAGCAGAAAAGAGAAATGATGTCTATTGAGAGACATGCATGGAGATCAATTTTTAGCATGAACATTTGTTTTTTTGATTGATTGAATGTAGATCTTCTCTGTAGTCTCATTTATGTCTACATCCTTATTTTTTAGCTCGTTTGCAAATGTTTTAGAACAATAAAAACTATTCTATTGTACTTATTTTATTCTTCTAATATTAGCCATTTACAAATTATTAAAATAAGTTACAAGGATACTTTATATGATTTTTGTTGTGTATTTAACAGCATGTAAGAGAAGTTAACGATCACATTGAGTTTTTGCTAGAACGATTCAATCCAGTGACTGTACTAAGTATGATCTGATGTATGCCAGATACATTTCAATGAGCTTTATCAAATGGTGTACGCTGATATTTCTATTTTAGGGAAAACTACAAAAGTAAAATATTCTACAAATCAAATATTTAAATGACTTGTGCCGCATTTGAGACACATATTACTTGATGCAGTCCATCATAATGTTACATTATTAAAGCTTCTAAACCCCTATATGTATATAATATGTTTAAGCTATCAATTCGCTTTAATACCTATGCCAACAAAACTTGAGGGCATCAAGCGTGGATGTGAATGTCTTTTCTTTAGTCATATCCACACCCTCAAGAAAGTAAAAGAAGCACATCTGTTGTTGAGACTAAAGATTGTATTTCGTCGTTGAATAGTATTCATATGTATCGAAAATATTTTTTGCCCAGTTATACTATGGTTCGGTTGTAGCTCTCGTACACAGGCTATCCTCTAGCAGCGGTCCGTTAATGGCTATTCAGGGTGTAGAATGATACACTGAAAAGAGTTATAGTAATCTCCAACGAATTGGGTTGTATCAAAATGGTAAATATGTATCTGTTAGAAACGAAAAGCATATATTCATGCTCAACAGTAACTGAATAGCAAACCATTTCGACGTTAATTATTCCTACGTAGACTTTTATTTACTATCTCTTGCGATAGATCTCCAAAGAGTTGATTCTATACATAGTAAAGAATAAATCTGTTAACAAGTTGATGATACGTTTGCCTGGATGTTCGTTGTTGCTCGAGTTTTTTCACGATTCTCTGGGTCCACCGGTGTAGAAGTGATAGCATTGATAAATATTTGAGGAGGTGAAGACATCTTTAGGAGTTGTTCTTGTTTGGCTTGCCGAACTGCAGGCGAATCATTGAGCAATCCTTTCTTGAACGAATTGTAAACATAGAGAAAAGCAGCAGCCAACAGAGCGATTTCAAGGCATACGATGAAAAAGATTTCCAGCATAAAATATCCGTATTGATCAAGAATTAAACCGGTAAGTATATTTCTAGGAAATAAGAAAAAAATTAAATCAATAGCCATTAGATAATACATACATAATGGCAAAACCCAAATTTTGAATCGATTGCATCAGCCCATAGGCAGTGCCCAACATTTGTTTGGGAACGAGAAATGCAACAAGTGGCCATAATGACGCAGCTAATATCGAATATGCGATGCCCATTAGAACAAGTGGAAAGACCGGGTGCACAAAAAGAAATGCGAGTAGACCATGAGCGATGATTGTAGCTATGATACTGCTTAGAAGCCAATAAATATTCCGCCCAGTCCGATCTATAATATAGCCGAGTATCGGCGAAAGAATAACCGACCTTGAAATAAAAGAGCTCTCTTACGATGCAAGAATAGTGAATGAAACTTGCATGAAATAGATCAAACTGTTGCAAGCATTGGACCATGCTGGTGACAGACCGTATTTCGACTCGTACAATAACTGTGCGAGAGCGACGAATGGGAATATTGCCACATAGTAGAAGACACAGATAGCAAAGAGGCAATAGAGTGAAACAGGAAAATGTCGCACATCTCGAAGACGAAATTCGTCAGCTAAAAGAAATATAAAACAGGATCGACGGATACATCGAGAGAAAAGAGAACGAACCTGCATCATTGGGATTATCTTTGTGGTGTCCCCGACGATGTCGATTGTCTAGCCACCAGAGAATTAAAGCACAGCCAAGTGAAAAGATGCATGTTGAGGCGGCTATTAATAGTGTAACCCCGATACGTCTCGGACCAGATATATGACTATCTAGGGAATCGTAAATTGGACGAATGGTATTCAGATTGATGAGACTAGCCTTTAAAAAAGACGCACGATATGAACAATATTTCTGAAAACAAACAGAATGAGTATGTACATACAACTCGAGAAAATGATAGCTGCAAACCAAATACGAAGTTCAACTGTTTTCCGAAAAACCATGAAACAGTATAGGCACTTTGAGCACTGGAAAGTGACTCACTACCAACGCCAAAAATAAATCTTCCAATATTCATAACCCATATCAATCGAAAAAAGCCACCGACACCAAAGACAAGTTGACCTACGACTACTATACTACAAAAGATGGTAGCCCCCCGAGCTACGCCAAGCCATTTGTCAATCAAAACACCGCCGACAGCGCTCATTCTAATTGATCAAAAAGAATTTATTATTAAATATAATAGAACAATTACTTACATCACGTTCGGCCATGAATACCACGAATAGAAAGAGGTGAATGTTGACGATGAAATTTTCAAATCTTCTTTCATCACATCCTGTAAACCAGCAGGATTGTCGTCACAGTAGTAAGCACCTTTACGAAAAAAACAATCAAAACTAGAAGATAAACGAATTTAACTATCACTTACCAAAGGGTAAAAAACACATGAAAATCATAGCTATCCAGCGGAGATAGCGTCCGCGTGGATCGAGTATTTTATTGTTCGAATTTTGATCGACTAACGAAGCATTTTCTTCGCGAAGATCCGCCATGATCAGGATGAGTTTAGATATCAAATATAGAGCAACACGAAACAAAAAATATCGTTGTCCTAAAAGATAAGAAATGAGAGTGATGCAGAGAAACGAAAAAGACTCGTCTATTTGTCAGTTAAACAACTATCTACATGTAAATAGTTATTATTGTCACCGACGACATCTAATGGATGATTGAAAATTAACGATTTAGTTCATTTGGCAAATAATATTATCTTGGGGAAGTAAACGAATTTCTTTTTTCGATTGAATAATACATTACTCACAATTTAGTTTTCTTACAAATGAACGAATTATTTACAAAAATATTCAACTGCTGGTGTTCGACAATCAATAAGGCAACAAGCAATTGATTAAGTTAAAATGAATATTCATTCAATTAGAAAAATAGAAAAAAATCTACAAAATGTACTTAATGCTACTTTCGATTTTTACACTAACGTTAAAATTCAAAACTAATAAAACAAAAGTGATTCAGGCATTACTGTCAACGATGCGTTGATTAACAATAAATCGAGCTAGATTGTTTGATTCGATCTTGTCATTCGAGATTTTGTTCCTGACGTATCATATTGTAAATTGTTTTATGTTTATCTAACATGTGACAATATATAGCTCCGTGTTCTGATAAATGATTACTGTCTTTTAGTGATACATCAAGTATACCCGCATCTACGAATACTATGAATCGAAGTTTTTTACCACTACCAATATTGATAGTATCAAGATTTCCGTGAGTGTAGTAGCCATTGCAAATGCGTGTTGGATATCAGATTCAGTAAGTACATTACCTTCAACAATAGTCAATTCTGACGAAGATAACAAGTTTTGAATCGATTCAATTACGACTACGAACAAACGCTGCTACCTCATGTTCTTGTGTTAGTAGAACCAAAAACTAGAATACGTATAAATAATAACTCTTACCAAATGACGTTTAAAAAACAAATGACAATCGAACTGCTTTCTTGCTCGATTTTATTTGTGATATAATATATGCTATTCATTATGATATCCCTTGGTTACGTAATGGTTGCAATATATTTTCAATAGTTATTGTTCTTGAAACTGAGCAATAAAAAATATAGTATTTCATAAATGTATTGATTTTCATAAATTAGCTTTACTATTAGTTAATCGAAACAAGAAAAAACAAAAGATAGACATAAAGAGTGGTGGTATGAAGGTAACACTCGCACATCTACCGACTACGCTCCCATTCAATGAGCTACAAAAGAAATATTCTGATTTTTTCAGCATCACTTTATGGTTTATACGGGAAATTTCTCTAAACGTGTCCAAACATTCAGTCCAATTTTAGTACCATTTTCACCAGGCGGCCGACCCGCATGAACTGTCCAATAATCAACTTGTCCATACTCATCCATATTATACCAAAAGACTGTATTTCCTGCTATTGGTCGAAATCGAAGGCCATGTTCGGTGACGTTTTCATCGCAAATCAAGATATCACAAAATCGTTCATGTAAAGATCTATTGAATGGAATCTCAATAAATTCAGTTTCACCCATGGAACAATTGGCTTGAAGATAGGTAAAATATGTTGTTACTCGTTCGCCACCAAGTTCTGAAGCATTCGGCATCAGCCAGTCATAGTGAGCTACAACCTAAAATAGTAGATGCAAACAAACAATGATCAATCTGACTGAGGTTAGAAATCGGAATGTATAGAAAATTGAATTCAAATTTGATGAAATTATGTCATACCTCTTGATCATTTGTATATTTTACTACTTGTACTGGTTCCATAGAATCGACATCAACATCACCTTGAAATTGTGCAAATCGACGTTCGATGCATTGTAAAATAGGTGTTTGATGGCGTTTGAGAAATGCTGTACTTGACGTTCGATTTTTAGAAATAGTAATTGTTCCATCAGGTTCCAGGATCAGTGAAGGTTTAAATTCCTTTTCTCTAATATACATATAATTATTTAAAATTTTAATCTTTTTCAGGTCAATTTAAAACCATTTTATTTTCTTCAATACTTAGTGAGAAGAACTCAACATTTTAACTTTCACTGCATCAAAAGTGAGGGATATATATGTGGGATTCCTTTTACTTACGCCAGTTCAATTAAATGCTGCCTTTCATTTTGAGTAAGAAACTTTTCAATATAGATAATTAATGGTTTTCGTGTAATAATTCGAGTAGAGTATCGGTGTTGTGGACATTTATGTTTATATTGTGATAAATCATAGTTATCATTCACTTGTGCCACTTTGACATCACTCTTGCAAAAGTTCAACTGTATAAATTGGTTTACTTGTTGCCGAATGTGCGACTTCAGGTCGTTTAGGTAGTCAATAATCTGAAGATTTGATCCAGTTGTTTGGAAAATGGTCTCTCGAAATTGATAAATTCTTAAGAGACACCCTAGGATCATAATCCCGAAGAGCACTATGTCGAACAAAATAGAGATATATAAAATATTGCCATACTATCAGACAATAATACCTTTTATTATTCGATGCATATATATTTATTTCGATAGACGAGAATTTTAATGCTTATTATTGTGCTTCGTGCAATGACTTGGAATTCTCTGAATAGAAAATGTCACAAGTGATTAATCAACAGTGTGAATTAAAGCTAAACTTATGGATATATAAAATGCCAAATGTAATATCTTCCATGATTTCAAATACTTACGCTACAGTGTGAGCACGTTGTCAGCAAGTGGAAAAAGAAAAAAAACAATCTTTGACTTTTTTTTTATAAAGAAATGTTTGTCTGTGTTTATGTAAGAACAGAAAGAGAAGCTATTCGAGAGTTAAAAGCACTGTTGATCGAGCCATTAGTGGTGGAAAAGGTATGCATTGATTACTATAGCAACATTATTTCGAATGAACAAAAGAGAAAAATGAAGTTTATTGAGAGACATGTATAAAAATCGATTTTTAGAGTATGGTTCTTATATAGCACCTTGAGAATGTGGGTGTGTTTTTTCTTCAAATTCATTGTCCGCATCCACCCACCTTCAACTATATGGTTAAATGCCATCATTGTTAATCAACGTTGTATTGCCTAGATAAAATCAAGTTTCAGTCATAGTTAATAAAAGAATAATTTCTGAAATATAATGGACTTATATTAACGGATTTCGATTAATAAATCAGTAGAATATCTTCATCAACTGTTTTTACTATTTGACATGCTATATTCAATCGATCGTCTACTACTCTGTTTTTTTCTAACTTGAGATTAATGAAGATTATTGTTTTGTATATGTCACTCGACTTTTTTTCTTAATACTATTGTAGTTGTTGGTAAAGAAAGCGATTAACAAATGATTAATAAATCAAAGGGCGTAGAAAATACCAAACATATTTTTGTTAAAAGTACACTCACGAATGCACTTTATTTATCACAGATAAACAGACAATACAGGCGTGAATATGCAGATAATAGTACATCCCATATTAGTTGATCGAAAGAAAAACGCCTATATCCGACTATACTTTTATCAATCTTGTGTATATATATATGTGACAGCAAAGGTATTGTTACAACAGCACATACATATCGATTACATCAATCATGAATCTTTCTCTATACTTGATTCTGACATTTCTCATAGTCACGAATGCAATGAAAAGTGACAGCCAAAATCGTTGCAAGAGACAAAGTGGAAATACATGCTTTTTAACACCTGAAGGTCATGAAGGACCATTTTATTGGAATTCCACATACAATCGAGCAAATATGACGTAAGTTAATTAACCTGTTTGCTTTGATCATAGACCTGTATATGAAAAACAAATTCTAGTGAAGATCGTCAAGGCATTCCGCTCATCTTACGTATAAAGGTAATAGAAGCGGCCACATGTCAACCAATTCCAAAAGCAGCTGTAGACATCTGGCATTGCGATGTACAAGGGGTCTATTCTCATTTTCTTAATTCCTCAACCGGCGGCCCTGGTGGACCACCCGGTGGACCTGGTGGACCGGGTGGACCAGGTAGACCCGGTGGACCAGGTGGACCCGGTGGACCAGGTGGACCCGGTGGA